TATTTATCATGATCAATTATTGAGGGTCCCGCAATTTGCATTTTTTTTTTATTTTTGGCGAGGTTCGTCTCATTAAAAAAATAAAACCTACACTGACTACATTTCTTATTGTTTTCGTTTTCCAGAAATAGAAGAAGGAAAGATGTATGCTAATTGAAATATAAAAACCGGATTACTATCAATTTCTAATCACTTATAAAAATGAAAAGACGCCATACCTTACGAAATATTTTGGTTGAACAAAGAAGCTATATGGAGGTGGATGGAATGCAATACTTAATTCGAACATTTCCTCGAATCGAGCTTAACTAGATTTATTTAAGCTAGGTTAAGGAAATTGAATGCTAGGCATTGTTACTAATGGGGATTCGAACATGTACCTATATGTTGCCTAACGGTCTTGATAAAAGGAAAGGAAAATAACACAGAACATTATTGTGTAGGTGGAAATATTCTATCTTATACATGTCATTATTTGATGGGAAACCAGTCGAAAGTTCTATGCCAATTATCCACACCTTCTAAATATTATACTATTACATCTTATACTTAGCAAACAACCATAAACTAAGATGCAAAAAACTAAACTTGATCAAGCATTGTCTAACTAAACTTTCACTACTGAATTACACTAATTGATTTATACAACAGAGATCAGTGTATCACAAGCAATACAAAACAGATATCTGAATCTTCTTCAAGAACTCCTTTCATTTCATGCTTTTGGACTGTTACAGTTAACACCAAAGTGGGATTTGAAATGTGTACCTGGAAAAACACTGAATACTGAAATGCAAAGAAGAAGTGAAGCAGAAAAGTCAGCGGCCAGCAGGAAACCAAATAGCAGCAGCAACAGCAAGTAACCAGATAGAAAGCAGAATCCCAGTGCAAGATGCAGTTGGAATCAATGAAAGATGACAGAGTGTGGCAAGTTCCCAGTAACGTGAATCAAAATTTAGGCAAAACAGATCTGGGGATGCACTGATGCTACACACAACTAAAACCCTCAAACATAACTTAGGAGAAATGATATGGAACAGGGAAATCCGGCCAGATGAGAATCAAGACAAAGAGGAAAAGATGCAGTTCCTCTTTCCTGTGTTATCCTCCTTCTATCTATTCCTGTCTGTGTGTATATATCTGTATGTATTTCCACTCTCTTTTTTCAAAAATTCCTCACAGTGTCTGTATTTTCTTTCCCTCCTTTTTCCAATATTTTTCTCCTCTCTGTGTGTGTGTGTGTGTGTGTGTATCAAAATCTTTGTATCTATCAATCTCCCTCTCCCTGTGTATTACTCTAGTATCCGATCCTCTCCCCCCTCTCCTCTATTTCTATCCCTTTTATAAGCCTTCCTTAACCTTTTTAACA